AGAAGAGTTGGAAGCAGCAAAGGAAAGTGAAAAAGGAAAGGTTTGGCTTTTTTTTTTTCTTCTCTCTCCTTCCCTATACTGACAACTAAGAGACTTAAATTAGAAATCGGAAAAATCCACTTTGACATCAATAGGCAATTAAGCTGAAAATAAAATAAAATGCCAAAGGGATAATAAGGATTTCTGGACACTAATTTTTTTTTTTCATAAGCAGGAAGGGAGAGAAAAAAATAAGGGCAGGATCTGGAAGAGGGAGGAGACTGCCTGGAATTAAAAAGAATCTACAGTAAAACTTCAACAAGACTTCTAAAAGATACATTTTAACTGAAACTTTGTAACTAAACAGTAACCCCAAGAAGAGAAAGTGAAAAAAAAAGAGCAAAAAGAAACAGCTTGCATGTATTTGGATTATTTGGTGATCTTTGGATTCTTGGTTATTACATTTGAATGACTAAAATTAATCGGGTGGTTGTTTAAAAATTTATACAATGGCACTACTTCTGGATGAATTGAAAATGGAACTGAAAAAGTACAAAGAAGATGCACTAGAAGGGAAGGGTTCTTTTGGCTTCGTTTTTCAATTCTTAGAAATGGAGATTTGGAACTATGAGAAACAACAAGAAACGTCTGCAAAACAAGAAGACTGGGACAAAGAAGAAGCCATCTTTAATGAACAAGTAATTTTATGTGGGGAAGAAAAAGGAAAGAGGGGAAAGAGAATGGAGAATTTAAGATTTAAAAAAACAACCAAAGAAAAGAAAAATAATTCGAAAAATAAATATAATACTGGAAAGCAACAGAAAGGGGGAATACAGAAGAGAGAAATAAAAGTAGAGAGACAAGGGGGTAAAAAGGGGAGAGAGAAGAAGAGAGGGAAGAAGGAAAGGAAAAGAAGTTACAAAGGACTGGAGCAAGATATAGAGAAACAGGACCTATTTAGAGATAATAGGTGAAAATCTAACTGAAAAAGGGATTCTGTAAAGGTACATAAGATTGTATTGTTATATTAGTAATAGAAATAACTTTAGAAAATTGGAAACAATGTATGATTAAAATGAGGGATAAAATAGTTAGTGTAATTTAGTGAAATGTTTGTTAATAAAATAAGTGAAATAAAATAAATGAGAAAATTGAATTAGGAAGGGACGGGAACATTTTAATTAGTTAATGTTTTATAAAATATAAGTGAAGGGGGGGAATTAATTATGGAAAGCTTATAATTGTTCCCATAGAAGTATGATATTTAATTGAAAAGTAATGTTAAAGAAGTTAAGACTTTAATGAATATTAATATTAATGATAGAATTGAATTGGAATGGAATGTGTTGTTTTAATTACATACATTTATAATTTTTTCTTTTTTTAAGAATATAGTGTGTATTTTAAGAATGTACCAAGCAGAATCCGAATGGAAGTTATGTATTATATTGAATGTTATAACTTTAGGGTATATATTGAAGCCTAAATAAGAGTTAAATGGATAAACTTAAAAGATATAAAGGCGTCATACTCCAATCAGTAACTACAGGAGAAATTTTGTTTAATGAGAAAAGATAATAGATAATTGAAACAGGACAGACAAAAAATACAAATATAATGATTTGAATTGAGATGAGATAATTAAAATAAAATTGAGAAAATTAAAAGAGGGGAGAAGCTATGCAGAAAATGTAAAATAGTAATAAGATATGGAATAGAATATAAAAATGAGCATGAACTTGAATTTGTGTCTGTACGAAGAAATGTAACCCGGGATTACGCTACTTTCAAAAAAGATGTTTTATTTGTATTTTTTTTCTTTTTGTGAAAACTCAAATAAAATTTACCAAAAAAAACCCTAAATAAAACTGTCTTGAACTTTGCATCCTACATCTTCAGCTGAATTACTTTTAATGTGATTTTAAAACTGACCATCTGAAATCTTGCCAGCTGTTATCTTATTTTTCCGCCAAATATTTCTTAATAGATTAAGAATATAAAAACTTGGTTTCCTTTCGCAGATGGTCAGTAAAAGCCCTCAGGTTTTCTGGTTATATTCTTGAGTTACACCTCTATTAAATGTGAATATTCATCCTACTCAGCTGTAATCCTGGGACTATATTTCCAAGAGGCCCTTATGAAGAGTAGGATTCCAGTGTTCATGCTGTTTTTATTTAGGAGCTTAAAAAGGATAGATAGTAATCAAACCAAAGCTAAGTTTCATTTCTCATCCCTCTAAAGAGTGCTGCATTGCTTAAAATGCATCTGTTAACACTTCCTAACAGCTTTTGAATTCCTTAAATTTATTATCAAGGGAGTTAATGGAAAGCCCTGTTTTGGCAGAGTACCACAGGAAGGCATATCAAATATAGATCATTCTTTTAAAAAAAAACTTCTGAAATTTTTTTCTAGAAATCTTCCTGGGCTGGTTTATTAGCTAGGGTTAAATGAAGCATATTTTAGAATTAATTTACATTCCTAACTCATTACTTCGACACAAGCTGAGGAGTGTTGGAGCCAAAGTTTCTATATAAACCAGTGTGGCAGAAATAAATGAACGTCTACTTTAAACATGGTGCTTCTCAGCAGGCTGACATTTAATTTTTAGTAATGCTGTATGTTTCACATTGTGGACTGATTAAACCTTTCATGAGCTCTTGCTGATCTGGAACCACATGGGTGGAAATATATATTCTTAATACTACAGAGTTCCAGGTTATTTATTCAGTTGGGCTATCTCGCCAGAAATGCTTGCTTCTTGCTCACTTAATAGTACAGCTCTTAATATTTTTATGTCTTTCAGTCCAAAATGTTCTAGGGTTGTGCTATTCTTTAAGTATCAAAAACATATACATGTGGTCCTTTACTTATGATGACAGTTCAGCCCAAAATTTATGTTGCTAAGTAAGACAGTTGTTAAGTGAATTTGCCACATTTAAAACCTTTCTTGACGCAGTTGTTAAGTGAATCACTGCAGTTGTTAAGTTAGTAACCAAGTTAAGTGAATCCGACCTTTCCATTAATTTTACTTGTCGGAAGGTCACAAAAGGTGATTCACATGACCCTGGAACACTGCAACCATCATAAATATGACTCAGTTGCCAAGCATCTGAAAGTTTGATCATACGACTATGGGGATGCTCTAATGGTTGTGTGAAAGATGTACTATAAATCACTTTTTCAGTGCCGTTGTAATTTCAAATGTCACTAAATGATCTGTTGTAAGTCGAGGATACTTTTATTTATAGTATGGCTGCCTGCTTGGATATAATAATTGGAGAAATATTTGTGCATTTCATACCATAGTTTCACACTGCCTTATACATCAATATATGGTATACAGCAAATTAAGCTGTATAAGATTATTGGGAATAGTTCTAATTCATAGGCAGAGCATGTGCTTTGCATGTACAAGATGTAAACAATCTAGGTCATTTTCATCTCAGTTAAAAAGCTCTTGAATAGAAGAGGGGGGAAAGGCCTCTAGATGAAACTTAAGAATGCTAAAGCCACATTATACAATATATTGTATTATAATTGTCATCTCCAACACATTTGAAGGGCACTAATTCAGAAAAGGGTTTGAGTAAAAAGATTTACGAGACAAGAATTACAGCAACAAAATATAAAGATAGATTGGTGGCCATACATGCAAATTCAGGCCAGATATCAGAAGGACAAAGAACAATTTGGTTTCTGCATGGAAAAGCATCAATTAGATAAAATTCTACAAGAAATGGAAAAGAAAATGATTTCAAGAATATATAACTTTCTACTAGATTTTAAAATGGAAGAGGAGGTGGTCAAAGAGACGATGGTGGTATGGGTGAAAAATGTTGGCCACAATATAGACCTGGACAATTGGGAGAGAATGTGGGGATCAAATTACAAATTAATTACATCCACAGCATACAAGGAAAATCAATACAAAATGTTCTACAGATGGCACCTTCCTCCCGCTAGATTGGCAAAAATGTTTAATTCAGACCTAAATTGTTGGAAATGTGGAAAAGAAAAAGGCACTTATTTTCATACCTGGTGGACATTCCAGGAAGTGAAAAAATATTGGAATACAATTAGACAATGGATAGAAGAAATCACGAATCAAAAAATTGAATTTAATCCGGAAACTTTTTTATTAGGTATAATAACACAAAAATGCAATAAAACAGATAGATATATTATGTTACATATATTAACAGCTGCAAGGATTTCGTACTCACAACTCTGGAAGAAAAAAAGGGTTTCACTGGAAGGCATGGTTATAAAAAAATAATAGATTGTATAGAGATGGACAGGCTAACGATGAAAATAAAAGACGGAGAAGATTCAATTTATTATAGGGCCTGGGATGCCTGGGATGAGTGGTTTAAAAATAAAAAGAAAATAAAAAGGCAATTAGGAAAAGAATGAGGGAATATGTAAATATACCATGGAGAAGATTGAGATGTAAGGATAAAAGATATTGATTTATAGTAAGAGTAAGATGTAATGGTAAAGGAATAAGTAAATACATATACTGAAAAATGTGAGGAGATGCAAAAGATGTTTTGATGTTGATAACAATGTATAAAATTTTATGTTTTTAAAATTTGGAAACTTAATAAAATTTATTTAAAAGAAAGAAAGAAAAAAGGGTTTGAATAGATCATAGTAAATTACAATACGCGTATGACATTTTCAGGTCAGCAAATAGCCGAATCAAGCAGAGTCATAACTGAGAATTGCCAATTAAGAGTTGCTGTTCAGTTTGTTACTTCATTTCTCCAGTTAGTAGGATACTTGCCTGGAAAGATCTGTAGCAGTCTACAAATTTTATTTTAAAATGATTTAAGAGAAATAAATAAACAAAAAAATTAAGGAAGGTTATAACAAGCATAAAGCTATTGTTGGCATTCATGTATCATGCTCAGGCCCATGGACAAAGAAACAATGTAATGCTACATTTTATCTGAAAATCTTACAGATGAGATGATCAGAAGTGTTTAAATTTAACCTTTCCTTTTGTTTTTGAATGACAGATTGTAAATCTTATAGAAGAAACGGGACATTTTCACATCACAAACACTACGTTTGACTTTGACCTTTGCTCACTGGACAAAACCACAGTTAGAAAATTACAGAGTTACCTGGAAACATCTGGAGCATCCTGAGGACATCAGTTGTGGTTGCATTAAAAACTGCTGGTTGTTTGTTTGTTTTTTATCTGAAAAAGAAAAAAAGAAAAATAAAACATTCAGAACGATGCAGCCATGGTGCAAAAACCCCAACAGCTCTCTTCAGCTTTATTTTTATTTTATTTTTTTGTTAAAGCCAGTTCATCATCTCTTGATAAAGGAGAAGAAAAATGACAAGCCTCAGCGAATTGCTCTTCTCACCAAGGAAATGCTCTGGAAGAGTTAGCCTGGATAGCCTTGAAAAAAAAAAAAACACTTAATGAATGTGTATGGTATCATGTGTCTCTCTCTGTGGTACTCCAGGCCACAAGATAAATGCATGTTCAACACACTGCCTTATTACATAACTGATCTATTTATTACTGCATATGCATATTCCAACGTCCTTGAGGGAATGGCACTACCAGACGCTACAATGTCCCGTGTCTCACGGATGCTCCTTGGATCCAGCACACCGCCATCACAGGCCTTCTGACCTTACTCTTGCTTTCATGCCACTTTGTCTTGACCCTTTTGCTAGTACAGTGTGAAAACCCCACTGCATTGTTTGGTTTCAATTTCTGTGGTTCCCCAAAATAAGATACTGGTGTGGGGTAAGGCAGAAAAGTCTATCCATTTTTTTAAAATGCTCAGTCTACTGTAGCAGGATCACCCAGGTTATAATTAATGTGCTCATTTTGGACTACATGTAACAAAACAAAAGGAGATTCTGACCTGTTATTAAGGGGAAAAAACACAAATGTGTTAATACAGTATGCTATCCCAATTCAGAATTGCTTTCCCGTCAACATTTCTGCATCTGTTTTAAGGTTATATTAGAAACAAATATAACATTATAAGCAGATGTTTGCCATAAGAGGAATACTAGTTCAGTTTTCATGGTATAGACAGAAAGCCCTTGATTGGGAACTATTTACGGCCAATATGCTGAAAATTATTTCTAAATTTCATTACTTGTTCCATACTTCACATTCAGTTGTAATAGGGCTCTTAACTCAAACTGGTTAATCAGATTAATTTCAATTGCATAATTAATACATATTATGTTTGGATGTGAATAAATGAGTTCTAAACTACTCTCCCACCCCCATCCTTTCTTTTTTTAAAAAAAAAAAAATTCTACATTCGTGCATGTATTGCTATAGGGACCACCTGAGAACTTGTATTCCTTCCATTTTTTTTTCAGAGATGTTTGGACTTCTTCCAAAATGTTACCTGTCCTACCATTTTAAACTTTTTAATGGTAAAATGATGTTTTCTGAAAAAAAAAAAACAGCCACCCAATAGAAACATCTTTCTTTAGTGAAATTATCTACTAAACATCACTGCCCTGATTTCCAGAAGTATTTTTTAATCTTTAACAAAAGTAATTTCATAAAACAAAATAAAACTCCATTTAAAGAAAGAGGGCAGAAAAGAGGCCTTCTCTTATTGAAGCCATTAAAGCAGGGATGTCAAGTGATATATCCTGATAGAAGATGTTGCTTAAGGACTACTTTTGGATCTGAAGGATTTGTTAGCCTTTTCAAAATAAGCTGTGCTTGAAAGGCTGTTGTATATCCAATTGCTGCTTAGTTACCAGATTATCATCTGTTGCTACAGAATCATCCTGCAGAAACATCTAATGGATTTCCTTGTTCTTTGTGCACAGTATGTTGCAGTATGAAAAATTAAGTTTGTAGTAAGGTTATTTCTTCATCATCAAATGGGAATTCTTAACGCTGTTTCTTTAAGTCCAAAGAAATTATTTCCTTTTGTGTGTATGTTATGTGTGTGAATGTGGGTTTATTTTTTATTATTTTTAAATTAAGATATTTGACCTAAACTACGGAAGTCTATCTTAGACTTTCAAAAGAACAAGTGTACTTTTCTTCAGTAATGTTATGACTCTTATTGATGATTGGCATGAAACATACTTGAAGTGTTATGTTCTTTTTTAAGTCCAACTGTTAAATGTGCAATTGTTGGGATGGGAGGTTTTTGAAATCTTTTGACATCAGGTGTATGATGTGATCTTGGAGCACGGCGGGAGATGTTTGAGTGGGTTTTTTACATTTTTGTTAGCATTTTTATATGAAATGTTTGAAAATCTAAAGGCTGTCTTTCAACTTTTTTTAACAGTGCACATTCAACACGATTCATTTCAATTTGAGCACAAAATCTGTTCTTTGGGGGAGGGGTCAATGTTGACTTTTCTAACTAAATTTTGTGGCAAAAACTCTTGAGAGATTGTTGGAAGGAGCACAGGCCAACATAACTTTGACTATATACTGGACATGTGTTTTTTCTTTGTTTTTAAAAAGGCAAAGTAAGTCCTTTGAGCCACAAAAAATAGTAGCTGATGTACAGAATTTGTGGGGGTGGAGGGGTTAACTATGTAAAGGGAATATTACTGAAATTACAGTAGACTCTTAACTCTGACTTGCATGTAGCTCATCAGTCATCCTTATAAAATGTTAGTTCTCTAGTTTGATGAGAATGAGGATGGAATAAACACATTTCAGCTGCATTTGTGTATTGAAAGTGAAGAGTGTTTTCCACAAAATTCTGGTAGAATAAGAGCTGGTAAGTGGTGTCCTTTTTTTAAAAAAAAAACAATTTACTTTAGTTATTTTGTATGCTGAAACAAAATAAATTCTTTTTCAATTAATTTCAAATAGTCCTATTTTCTGGCAAAGAATTCAGTCTCAGCTACATGGAAGAGTGATCATTTAGGATTGGTAAAATATATAGCACAATATCTGACTTTATGACAACTACATTATATTCTTGTGGTGTTTCACCTGAATCAGAATCTGTATTAAAAACCACTATTTTTCCCTTGTCCTTTTTTGACCTTTTCTAATGAAAACAATACTTTTTTTTTCACAAGTTTATAAATACGCAATCTTGATTGTCAAGTCAAACTGTGGAACCAGAGTGGATAGAGTAGGGATGGATATTGTGTTCATGGCTTAGAGTCTCAAATTTAAATAGCCAGTTTGGTGCCCTTCACATGAATTGCACATCTGAAAAACACCAGTCTGGAGACAGCTGAGGCAAAATATAAAGGTACTTATATTACCACAGATTATTACAATAATAATTAGTTATTGGGAGTGGAATTGCAAGACATAAGGATCATATATACAAACCATAAAGGGGTGAGTCCTTTGAGGTGTAATTACTTATTTATGTAGTATATATTACAGCCCTCTGAAAACATCCTTCAGAAGTACAACATACATTGTAAATCCAAACACTAGCTTGTCCTTTGCCAAGTGTTTTAAAGAATGCCTCTTTCAGCATTAGTCTGGGGTAAATAATTCAAATGATTCAACAACATGGTAAAAAAAAAAGAATGCTACAGAGAAACGTGTCATTTGAACATCATTTGCCTGGAATTTCACACTGCAGTTGATTATGTTGTGCTTTTTTCTTGTTTTTCAAGAATTTTGTTTAGCCAATTCAGTTCACCTGGCCCAAAGCTGAAATAATTTTTCTCCTCAGCCTCCTCAGAGTTCAGTTTCCCCCCTGGCCTGTTCAATCATGAGACGATTGAAAGAGGTATCTATTAGATCAGGGGGGAATTTTCCTGAGTTCATACTCAGTTATATATCTTCACCCTGGGCTTGATCGGAGATGTAGTAGAAGAAGTGATCTGATATCTGGATGGAGAAAAAAATTACTCGGATTTCAGCCAGAATAAAATAAAGCAGCCATGTTGTTTCCTTCATTCCAGCTCCATCAGCCTCAAGTTCTTCTAAAGAATGTTCTCCAACTCTATTATTACTAATCGTGTTCAATTGTTAAGTGAATCACTGCAGTTGTTAGGTTAATAACATGGTTGTTAACTGAATCTGGTTTCCCCATTAACTTTGCTTGTCAAAAGCTTATATAAGGTATTCACATAACCCCAGGACACTAATCATCATGAATACATACCAATTGCCAAGTGTCTGAATTTTGATCTCAGGATCACATGCTGCAAGGCTCAAAAATGGGGGAAATGATCATGTCACTTTTTTTCAGTGCCATTGTAACATTGAACGGTCACTAAATGAACTGTTGTAAGTTGAGGACTACCTGTCGTGTTATTTGTGGCACATTGATGGAAAATTAAATCAAGGAGACTTCAGGGAATAACAAAGACAACATGTGACTTTCAGATTGTAAGCCAATTCCCAGGATCCTAGCTGAGATGGTAGGGATTTGGATGGAATGGGAAAATGGGAGCAATATTTGAGAGCATCTTGTGATAGGAACCCTATTAAACTTAGTTCTGAGTAGAGGTGCATAGGATGAAATTTACATGTTGTTTAAGACATAAGCAACAGTATTTTTTACAAACTAGACAGATATGCGTTCATTTCTCAAATAATTGCAAGAATGGAACAATTCAGATTGGGCTTCTGCCTGTGTTTTTAATTTGGCAACAATAGTATGACTCTTTTAATATAACACACTTTCCCTTTCTGTGGTACAAATGACAATTTTCTATTATAGGATGTAAGAATGTATAAGAATGTAACTCCGGATCTGCGTGGTTAAGATGTCAAGTGCAGGTTCCCATCCAGATATGAGAAAGCAAAATGTCTCTCCTAAGGAGAGAAGAAAGAATGGGTATATTTCCTTTGACATTATTCCTTTTAAAGAAGGATTTCTCGGTGGATGTTTTCTCTCCCCCCCCCCCCACCCCGCTTTTGGACGCACTATGGGGGAGCCCCCCCCCCCCCTGAAAATTAAAATATATTTTAAAAAAGAGGAAAGAAATGAGTTGTGTTAAAAGCCAGGCTCTTCCAAGTAATAAGGTTCTGATGCTGATATTGATTTGGGCGCTGAGCAGACATTCCTAACCCATGTGGTTTGTGTATTCCTATCTGAGTGGGTGGTCTGCTCTGAAAGGAGGGGGAGGGGCGGCAAGATGGCTTAGTTTCTGAGCAGTGGAGGGAAATTATGAGGCTTGGCTAGCATCATCCAGCCATCCTTCAGAAAAACAAAGTACCCCCTTCCCTCTTTTCCAATGTGAGGGAATGAACGTTGACCAAATATCCTGAAGTACTGTTTGGCACTATATTAAACTTTGTGGCGGGAATCATGTGCAAGTGACTAAATGGGGCTCTCTATTTAAAAAAAAAAATTTTTTTTGATGGAGACTGGGAAATGGCAAGTTTGAGGGATGAGAAGAAAAGCAATGTCTTCGCTAAGGTGACCAATTATTTTTCCCCTGTCTGGGATGCAAGTAATCTCCCCTCAAAGCTTTGGTTTTAACTCGTTTGTATGGAGAGGGAGGGAGGGAGGGAAGTCTCCATTACACATTAATTCTTCATTAGCATCCTTATCAAAAGGTCTATTTAAAAAGAAGCCTATAAAAGGTGCATAGAGCTGGGTAAATCCTACCCAGGAGGCATCTGCAGAAGCTGGAAGTTGAAGACTGGCCCTAGCATGAGAGCACTCATTTCACGAAGAGATTTAATTCCCCCACCCTCTCTTCCTCCTCCTAAGCCCACCAATAATTGTAAGCAATAACATAGGAATTCTTGTATAGTGGCCAGGGAAACTAGAAGAGGATGATAGAAACAATATGGGACTTCTTTCCTTGTGCATGTGTATGGTGAGGAGAGGGAGGGAGGGAGGGAGAAAAAGCGAGAACTTAATGGAAATATTTGCATTTGTGTTGCTAACTTAACAACTGCAGTGATTCACTTAACAAAAAAAAATCCGTAAAATAGGACAAAACTCACTTAACAAATGTCTCACTTAACAACAGAAATTTTGGGTTCAATTGTAGTCATAAAGTCGAGGATTATCTGTATGTCTTTTTGACCTTTCCGCCATTAGAGGATTCAAGGAGTATATCTGTAGTTCCAAGCACTGGCCAGGCAGGCCCCAACTTTTTCAGTTTCAGCAAGTTTATTGATTTGAATATTTGAATATTTTCTTCTTGGTCAATGTTGGATATCAAGTGAATGAACAATTGCAAATTTCTCAAAGTCCAATGACATTAGTAAAGAAAGGAGGAAATTAGAGGATATCTTAGAGATGACCTCAGTATGGCCAAAGCCACCCAAACTCTGGATGATGTTACTGGTCCATCAGCTGTGTTATGAAATCTTTTTCTTAAAAAGCAGAACTATAAAGATCAGATGACAAAATAAACATCAAAGGTTGGTTAACAAGTTGACATCAGAATCGGCTGAAGGAAAACAGCCGTAGTAGTATAGTATAGTATATCTTCTTTATACTAAAACAGGTGTGTGTGTGTGTATGTGTTCCAGCATAACTCTGGAACGCCTTGAGCAATTTCAACCAAGCTTGGTACACAGATGACTTACCCTCTGGAAACAAATACTGTGGGGGTAAGATACCCCTAACACCCCTCGGAGGTATGTGTGCCTTAAAATGGATTCTACTGTGCAGCACAGTGGACTTACCATGGTAACCGCTTCACAGTACTCCAGTACTCCAGAAGGTGGCTCCCTCTCAGCCTTCAACATGACTCCCAACTACAGGGTTTTCCTGTCTAATAGAGGATTGGGGGAAAAAATGCCCGGGCAACACTGGGTTATCAGCTAGTATCGTATACAATAGACTTATATACCGCTTCACAGTGATTTAGTGCCCTCTCCAAGTGGTTTACAGAGCCAGCATATTGCCCCCAACAATCTGGGTCCTCCTTTTACAGACCTTGGAAGGATGGAAGGTTGAGTCAACCTTGAGCTGGTGAGATTAGAATTGCCGAACTGCTGGCAGTCGGCAGTCAGAAGAACTAGCCTGCAATACTGCATTCTAACCACTGCACCACCACGGCTCTTAGTAGATAGGAATAAAGCAAAGAAGCATACTGAACTGAATACAGATAGTCCCTGACTTACGGCTAAAATTGTGTTCAAAATTTATGTTGATCACTGAGATATTTGTTAATGGGTTTTAGCTCCATTTTGCGACTTTCCTTGTTAAGTGAATCACTGCAGTTGTTAAGTTAGTAACACGCCTGTTAAGTGAATCCGGCTTCCCCATTGACTTTGCCTGTCAGAAGGTCGCAAAAGGGGATTGCACGACCCCGGGACACTGCAACTGTCATAAATAAGAACCAATTACCAAGCATCTGAATTTTGATCACGTGATCAGGGGGATGCCACCAACGGTAGTAAGTGTGAAAAACAGTCATAACTCAATGAATCCCACAAAAAACCAGTGGATTTTTGTCAAGAGCTCCCAAAAGATTCCAATTGATCTTCCACTTCTGATCCTGACATAACCTCAAAATAGAAGCACAAACTTCTAGCAAACCCCTGGGTGCAGCATCTGTGCGAAATAAGAAATGAATGCTCATTTACTGTTCGGTGCAGTGCGGGGGGGACACCCATTCATGCTGAAAGGCCCTTAGACTAAACAGGGAATCCTGATCTTAAACAGCACTGCAAGATTGTAAAAGCTCAATGGAGTAGAAACAGATAAACACAAGGGTTCGTTTTATGTAAATATTTAATGTCAAGGTTTTCAGTGTTTTAAGGGGATAGAAGTGTGAAAAGTGAAGTTTGTTGAATCTGCGAGAAAAGCTGCACTTTCCTTGTGATTTGCTTGTGCTAAGTAGCCAGGGCGTGCTCATGGAAACATCCAGAAAGAAACTACACCGTAAATTTCTTAAGATCCTTAAAGGTAAAA